TACAATAAAGCAGAATTAGTCCATCTAGTTGAGTTTCCGGTCTGGTTTATCTGGGAGGGCTGACATCAACCTCTGACTTCCTTCTCCCCTTTGACTTACCTTGCAGGAAAGTGGCAGGGAGTGTTGGAAATAATGATTCTACGATTGCAGCTAACTGCACAGTGTGGCAACCACAATTTTGCCAAATTACAATTCATGGCAGTCATGGCTTCCAAATTTTGGACACATTCTGTAAATTGGCAAATTTGAGGCATGTTGGTTTAAAACGTGGTTGCCCTATGATGCAATGTTTTGCCCAATTGAAGCTTACCAACAATCAAGCACAAGAGTTTTAGTAATAGATAGAACTAATAGCGAGCTGGTGAAGTTTGCAAGTGATACCAAGTTATTTTAAAAAATGATGAGCCCAGAGAAATCTTTTTAAACTGAGTAACTGATCAAACAAATAGCAAATGCTATTAAATGTAAGTAAGTGTAAAGCAATGCTCGCTGGGGCAAAACCTTCTTATCTGAGATTCATATTAATTTAGGATTCTGTAACTAACAAGGAGAAAGAATTTGGGTTACAGTAGATAGCACAATGAAGATGTCAGCAAACCCCCCTGCTTGAATCATTAGGCGAAGAATTGAAAATAAAAATACCAGGATTGGTAATGCTTTTATAGAACTTTGTGGTATGTTTACAGCTGGAGTAAAGTGCATAATTCTGGATACCATAATTGAGAAACAATATAAGAGAGTCATTAAAAAGTGGAAAAGAGGACAACTGAATAATCAGAAGGACTGAACACTTTCCGTATTTTATTTATTTATTTTATTTATTTATAATAAGACTTATATGCCGCCCTTCTCCCCCATGGGACTCAGGGCGGCTCACAGCATATTAAAAACAATACAAAACATTTCCCTATAAAAGCCAATTAAAAACCAAATATTTGTAGCTGTATGAAAGTGTTTCACTTTTCTTATATGTGTACGTTCACTTTTGAAAACAAAAAATCTTAAAGAAAAAAACCTTTTTCACACAGAATCTATTACTATCCAATACGGTGATGGCCACTAACAATGGCACTGAAAAAAGTGGCTTATGACCGTTTTTCACACTTACAAGTATTGTAGCATCCCCAATCAAAATCCAGACACTTGGCAACTGGCTCATATTTATAATATTTGCAGGATCCTGGGGGTCATGTGATCCCCTTTTGTGATCTTCTGCCAAGCAAAGTCAATGGGGAAGCCAGAGTCACTTAAAAACCATGTTACTAACTTAACAACTGCAGTGATTCACTTAATGATTGTGGCAATAAAAGTCACCAGACAAAACTCACTTAACACCTGTATTGCTTAGCAACAGAAATTTTGGGCTCAATTGTGCTCATAAATCAAGGAGAACTGGTGGCTTTAATAGTGGATTAAATGGAGGATAAGTCTATTAAAGTGTGTTAGTCTGACATTTCAGTGTTACCTCCATGGAGGGGATAACTTTCTTGCAAATACCAGATGCAGGGAGAAAATTAGGAGAGAAGTGCATTCTGTTTCTAAGCATTTAAAGATATTTGATTGGCCACTATGAGAAACAAAATGCTGGATGGAAACCTGGTATAAAATTTCAACTATATGAGAGAATACAATAATACTTTCTGAGATCTAGAAGTATTTCCAGTGCTATGCTTAGACTGAGGCTGGATTGATTACCATCAAAACGAAAGCTTAGTAACAAACCATATTTTACCTTCTCAGAGTCTGTTTCCCACAGAGCTTCTACACCTCTTATAAATTTAAATCTAGATAATATATAGCAATAACTAGCAAACCTCCCCTTGGCATGTCCCCTGATTTGCTTATGGGTTATAACAATGTCATGGAGCTTGTTAAACAAAGGCTAGAAGATATTGAGCTTAACTTAGGAAGAACCTCCAGGTTATGGTGTCATCTTCTTAATGAATCAAAGAAACCACAACCTGCACATTATTTAAATTAGTCTATATCCACTACTAATGGGTATTTTTCTAGAGCACATTTTATTGCTTTCCCTTCTGTAATTATGGATGGCAGATAAAAAGGAAATCCCTGTAGCGCTTAAGCAATGCCCTTGAACTTTGGTGAACTAGAAACCCTAGAACTTATTTTTTTTTACACAGAGTTTATTGAGAACTGCACTGCCAGTTTGATAAAGTCCATTCTTAGCTCTAGGAAACAAACAATGGAAAACCTTGCCAAAAAAACTGCAGGGATTTGTCTAGGTAGTAGCCAAGAACCAAGAATGACTTGAAAATACACATGTGCAACACAACACACACACAAATGAAAATACTCCCTGACCACCTTGATCAATGGTATCTAGAAGTTTTTTTAAATGATAGATGTCTTGAACCCCTCTCCCCTTTTTTTAATTGCTACATTTTGTGCCTTAGCCATAAGGCTGCATCCTATCTAGATCTGTTAATAGAAGTACACCAAAAAGTAGAACCAATGATCATGGAGGAATGAAGAACTGGTGAGTAGATAGGCTCTTCAGTAATTGCTCTCCAGACAAGGAAAGGACTTGAGATTGCCCACAGGTGCTCCAGGTAGCTGTTCCTCATCAGGAAACTGCAAGATAACAATATCTGGGAGGTTTAGAGCTACGAGAGACAAGGGAATTGCCATCTTGGTCAATCCACAGTTGGCACCCTTGAAAGGACACTGAGTTCACTTACTTTGTTTTATTTTAATCAATTTTGGAGATTGGTATTAACAGCTTTTCAGCTATTAGGAACCTTTGGATTGACCTTTGGAGTTTTACAGCATGAAGTGAACCTCCTTCAATCCTTAGTAAAGAGGTTTTAACTACAAATTTAAGATCACAATTTTTGGGAATTGACAGCAAAAGGGTGATTAAAATTTTGATTTTAGAAAGTTACAAGTGGCCTAAGAGTTCAGATGAATATGAAATAAGATTTTTGAATTAATGATAAAGAACACCTCCTGAGGAAAAATGTTTTTGCTTTTGTTTCTTTTAAATAAAAAAAATTAAAACTAAGGGGAACTACAAAGAATCAAAAATTATAATTAAAAGGAGAATGCTTACTTGACTTTCATTTACAGAGTGAAACAAAAATATTTTAACACTAGCTGTACCCGGCCACGCGTTGCTGTGGCTCAGTCTGGTTAAATGGAAAAGAAAGAAAAGAGAAAGCGCACGTTTGTAATATATTTAATTTCACAATGCTAGCGTGTGTTGCTTTTACGTCCAACAAATGGCGCTGTTTTTCAAAAAAAGCATGTTTTTACCTGTTACAGGTGTGACATCTATATAATAGTAGGTATATAAAAACATGCGCGTATTCGAATGCAACGTTGTGTCAAAATTTCAAAGCAATCGGTGAAGAACTTTTGGAGATTTAAGATTTTGAACAAACGAACATTTACATTTTTATTTATATAGAAGATTTTATTTTATTTATTTTATTTATTTATTATTTAGATTTATATCCCGCCCTTCTCCCGTAGGACTCAGGGCGGCGGACAATCAATTAAAATACACAAATAACAATACGGATTTAAAATTAATTAAAAGAATATTAGAGAATTGTCCAATTTAAAATTGTTGATTAAAACCCCTCTAAAAATTACCCTAGGCCAGTCCTGCAAGCTGGAATAACCAAGTCTTGAGGGCGCGGCGAAAGGAAGGGAGATCAGGGATAACCCTGATCTCTGGGGGCAGTTCATTCCAGAGGGTGGGAGCTCCCACAGAGAAGGCCCTCCCCCTTGGGGTCGCCAGCCGGCACTGTTTGGCCGACGGCACCNGATATTTTTGAACACAGGACCAGAATTTTAAAAGTTTCTGCCTCTGTAGATAGACTGTATCTAAAAGTTACGTTATGGAAGAGGAGCAAGTTCTACTGACATGATCCAAGACTGAGTTGAAAGTGGATTTTTACAAGACTGTAACACTGGACATACAAATGAAACTGGCTGATACCTTAATAATTAAAAGGGATACACAAACAACAAACCAAGAGAGTGACCTGCATAATTTTCCTACATTGGATTTACAAAAGAGGCTTGTTAAAGTTTTGAAGAATTTTGTGAGAAAGGACAAACAAGAAATGAAAAGAAATCAAAATCTATGACATTATTTAAAAGGGTTAAAGATTAAGATTATTAGAAGTAAAAGAAAGGAATATAAAGTTGTTGTTTTTTTTTATCAAGGTTAAGATCCATATATCTCTGCAATTCTTAATAGATTTCTGCTGACAGGCTGAAATGATGAGGCTTTATGGATTTGTTTATAGATAAGAGATGGGGCATTGGAAAAAAAGATTGTGTTTTTTAAAGAGGTGATAAGTTACTAAATTGTTTATACTCATGATGAAAGTGTGGTCAGTTCTTTTCTTTTTTTTCTTTGCTTACTTTCCTTATTCTCTTAATGTCTTTTTTCTAATTTTCCCTTTTTTTTCTTTTCCACACATTTACTCTCTCTTTTTATTCTATTTTCAGTTTGTATTAGTTTTTACTGCTGTAATTATATTTAATACAATTACTATATAAAAAAGAAGCTTACCATGTATTAAACTGTTACAGCTTGTATTGCTGAAAACCACTTGCATTGTTTCAACCTATTTTATTTATTGAATTTTCATACATGACTCTGGGTGGCTTACACAGTTAAAAACAAAATGCAATACATAGTTATAAATAGAAAATGAAAATGAAAACCATTAAAAATAAAACAGGTTAAAATTTAATTTGCAGGAGAGTAAATGCAATGACTAACAATATAAGCAACTAACAAGTGCTATACATTTTGTACTGGTTTTGGACCATAATAAAGCTACCATTACGAAATGCTGGATTAAGATAGGCCTTGCCTCTCTTCTCAATATGTCTAATTATAATCTTTCAAATTATAACGCAACAGTTCATACTGAGAACTTATTTCCATGGCATGTGATGCTCTTATACGGCATGTGATTCTTTTTTTGAAAAAGAAAAACAGTTGTCTCTCCTCAAATGATTTAAACAATCTGTCTGTTTCCATTGTGTCCTTTCCAGCTTGAAGCTTTAAGGGCAGCAGGTGCTGAGTGTGTGAAGCATGGCTTCCAAAAGCTCCAGGAGAATTATGCGAAGCGCTCTGAAGATCTGAAGAAAAGACAAGAAGGAGTCATAAATACAATGAAGGTATGAAATGTAAGAGACCCAGTTTAGTGCAGTGCTTAGAAACTAGGATATTGTGAGTTCTAGTTCTGCCTTGGAATGAGGCCATCTGCCATAGGAATGAAGGTATCTGAGTTGTAGGAAGAAGACAAGGACAAACCACTTCTGAAATCATACCAAGAAAATTGCAAATACTAAACTAGGCAGTTGCCTGAAGTATCAAGCAAAGCATAGTTCTCCAGAAAATCTTTGAGATATTTTGAAAAGATGATTGAGGATGAGAGGACAAGTTTAGGGATATTCTACAACACTGTTTGATCCACACTTCAAAACAAGCAGACTAGTCCACATATTGATCTGAGCTCCCCTGATCTATATTAAAGAAAGTATTAATTGTTTTAAAGACACAGCAATTCATACATTGTGACAGAGAAACTATATATACGAGGGCAATTCGGAAATAAACCTCTGTTTGGTTATCAATGAGAGACATTCGCCGATACAGAACTTTTATTATACACATTAGAAAACTACAACATTACATTACTTTTTGACATAACCGCCATTCATATTGAGGCACTTGTCATAATATCTTACAAGGTTTGAAATTCCTTAGTAGTAGTTGCTCAGCGCTAAATCTGGGCTATGGGGTGGTGGTGATCAAAAACATCCCAACGGAACTGCTTCAAAAGTTCTTGGATGCGTCTAGCAGTGTGCAGGCAAGCATTATCGTGAACCAACACCACACCAAAAGTCGGCAGACCCCAATACTTGTTATGGATGGCTCGTCTGAGTTTTCATAACATTTCACAGTAGACTTCTGAATTGATGGTCAAACCACGCCCCATGGACTTCACTAGCAGTACTCCTTTGGCATCTTCACATTTGGTGGGATTTTCTATGGCACCACTTTCGGTGTGGTGTTGGTTCATGATAATGCTCGCCCACACACCTCTAGATGCACCCAAGAGTTGTAGTTTTCTAATGTGTATAATAAAAGTTCTGCGTCTGTGAGGGTCTGTCATTGATAACCAAACAGAGGTTTATTTCTGAATTGCCCTCATATTTAAATATGAATTGAACATATTTTGATTTTAAAATGCAGACTATCCCAGAGACAAACCAGAATAGATTCTTGAATGAACATGTGAGAAACTATATCTGGATAAGAAATAAACTGGTCCATTCATCCTAGCAAAGTTGTTATCCACCTTCTCTTCCTGTGCTCTGGGCTACAGCATATAAAGCTCTTCTTCTTCCAGTAATTCTCTTCATCACATGACAAGCAATCTCATATTTGGTCTCATGGAACAGGGTCATTGCTGTAGGGAAAAATAGAAGCTAATGTTGTGAATGTTGTTTTGAGCTCCTGACTGAGAGGTGAAAGTCACAAACAAATCTCATAGAAGTGGAATCAATAGTGTTGGAGGCTATCATTTAAAACAAACCTTAAACATTTGTTCTTTTCCACAATTGTGGAAAATGAGGAAATTCCTCATATAGTAATATTCAAAGTACCAATAAAGGAGAATATTTGTAGTTCAGGGCTGAAATGAGGGATCCTTGATGCTCTCTGTTGTTGTTTCCTTGCAGATGTTTCATTACCCAAACTAGGTAACATCAGCAGCACTAATGATGATAACAAAGTTTGGGTAATGAAATGTCTGCAAGAAAGCAACCAAGCTCAAAGAGCACCAAGGACCTTTAATATTCAAAGTACTTCGGTTTAGGTAAGTTCTTTGCCACTAAATTCCATGGCTAGACTTTTTTCAAAGTTACAAACTTCAGGCACAGTTTTACTCAACACAGCCACTGGAAGATCATGTAAATTACTAAAACACTGTAAGCTGCTTGAAAGTGTGAGCCTCTTCATTTAATGTAATATTTTCTGACCAGTGAGCCAATTTTAATACAAAAATAATACATGCCAGTGACCAGAGTTTTTGAAACACAGTGTTGCTTTATGAAATTAGCATGGACTACTTGTCAAAAGATGGGTTATTTGGAGAACTAGAAAAATTAGATTCCATGTTGCAATTAGATTCCCTAATCCTAACCCATCGTGCACAATATTCGGCTGTATTTTTTAAAATGTTGTACATTGAGGCAAAAATCTCACGTCTCCCCTTCCATGATATAATAAGAATAAGAATACTTAAAAATTGTTAATGGTGGATATGGTAGTTCCTAGAGACAGCAGAACAGAGGAGAAAGAACTGGAGAAAATCACAAAATACAAAGACCTGCAAATAGAAGTAGAATGACTGTGACAAAAGAAAGCAAAAATAATACCAATAGGTGCCTTCCGTGCAATCCCAAAACATCTGGAGTAACTACTTGAACACCATCGGCAATGACAAACTCAAGTCAATTACAAAAGCAGCTTTACTGGGAACACAATACACAACACACAATACACAAAATCTGTCTATCTCAGGTCCTTGGGAAAGCCTTGAGAAATGGATAAAAATACCAAATCCAGTCTAAACATCTGGCTGACTGTGCGATCAACCATAATAATACAGATCCCAGGTCCATAATATACTGTCCTTGGAAGCAGTGAGTGGGGAGTGTTTCAAAACTAGATTGATCCCTTGCTTTTCATCATTTTTGTTTTTAAAAGACGATTTGATATAGTTGATTCTGAAGTGGGAATGAGCAGAAATTGTAGACAATATTCATAGCTCAGGTTGTCGATTTTGGCAGTGGTTTGTTCTCCGAGCTTGCTGTTCAACTCCCAGACATCTCATTACCAAACTAGGTAACATCTTCAGTGGGGTTTAGGGTGAAGTGTCTTGTTCAGTTTCTTCTCTGCTTATATAAGTCCTGGGTGGTGTTGTGGTCAGCTGTCGCATGACTGTTTGCAGTGTGCGAAATTTACCTCCTCACCAGTTTAATTTCATGCCTTGTAAACAACATGATCAACTGACCGCAACACCACCTATATAAGGATCTATATAAGCAGAGAAGAAATCGAACAAGACACTTCACCCTAAATCCTGCTGGAAACATTACCTAGATTTGGTAACAAAGCATCCAGGAGCTAAACAGCAAGCTTGGAGAACAAACAGCTGCCAAAATGAGCAGAAATGTCCAGAAGTGTAAAAATGGACTTTACATTTCAGTTCAGAGAGTGCCTTTCTGGATGTTTAATATCTGATGACTATCTCAGGAAGAATGTCTTACATTAAAAAAAATCCCATAGTAATTTTCCTGAGTTATTACCATCACCATCAAAAGCTCAACTCTGCAATTTTGCTGTCTTCCAGTTGTGAACTATGTGAATGCCATAGTTAAAGTGTTTTTTAAGAAGATGATAGGCCATCACAGAGGATAGACATTTTTCTAAATCAAATTTAGTGTTAACACTGCAGTTTTGTGTATTTCTTACCTCCAAATAGTAATCAGTTCCACCCTTAGTTTTTAGCAGTTGTGGGATTTCAAGTAGGAATCACCAAAGAGAGACTGAGAACTCCAAACAACTCTGTGATGTCAGGGGAACTATGGGAACAGGCCATTGTAGGGTTTTTCAAAAATAGAACTGGCCTGTGATTGTATTCAGAGTGCGGGTGCTACTGATTCCAAACAAAAACCAGTTTGTGTCCCTTGCCTTGAGCTAATAACATGATATAATCTGTTTCTACAGTCTTCAGAGCCCAGCTTTTGCTTTCTAATTGCAGACTCGCAAACTTGAGCAAGAGCAGATCTTAAAGCAAAGCACTGACAGCCTCGGACAGCTGAGTGTGCAGCTGAATGAGAAATATGGCCATATTGAAGAACTGGAAAAACGAGTACAAAGGATGGAAGAGGTGAGACTGAAATGTGGTTGCATCAGTCATGTACATTCATGGCAACCGTTCTGCCTTCTACCAATGACTGCCAAAGCTCCTGTAAGGACCCACTTCAGCTAACCACCCAAGAAAGCAGAACTCTTGAAACAGGCATTGTCTCAAAAGGATACTTTTATTAGGGGTCAGTGACAGTAGGGAAGTCAAGGCAAGATCTGGGGAAAATCATGCACAAATGGTATAGTTAAGCAAGCAATATTCTTCTTCCCACCAAATCATAATGTCCATTTGAAATTCAGCCAATCCATGGATGGTATGATGGGCGGGTGACTGGCACAGTTGGCGCACATCTCAAGGTCTTAATAACAACAACAACAATAATAATAATAATAGTAGTAGTAGTAGTAGTAGTAGTAGTAGTAAAGTTGGAAGGGACCTTGGAGGTCATCTAGTCCAACCCCCTGCTCAGGCAGGAAACTCTATACCATTTCGGACAAATGGCTGTCCAGTCTCTTCTTAAAAACTTCTCTTCTCTTGCCTCTATCTCAAGGATAGAGGCAAGAGAGGGAAAGTAGAAAGCAAAAGTTATCCCAAGCTTCCCCTCCCCTCAGCAGAATGGCAGGCCCCAAAAGTAGAATATATATGCAAGGGAAAACACAGAGGTTTTGGGGACCTGACAGCTCCCTAAGAATTTTAGTGGCCTTTTTTAAAATGAAGAAACACAGGCATTCCTCGATTTACAATGGTTCGTTTAGTGAACGTTCAAAGTTACAACGACACTGAAAAAAGTGACGTATGACCGTTTTTTGCACTTACGACCGTTGCAACATCCCCATGGTCATGTGATCAAAATCCAGACGCTTGGCAATTGGCTCATATTTATGACGGTTGCAGTGTCCCTGCGTCATGTGATCACCTTTTGCGACCTTCTGACAAGCAAAATCAAAAGGGAAGCCAGAGTCACTTAGCAACCGTGTTACTAACTTAACAGCTGCAGTGATTCATTTAACAACTGTGGCAAGAAAAGTTGTAAAATAGGGCAAAACTCCCTTAAAACTCTCTTGCTTAGCAGTGGAAATTTTGGACTTAATTGTGGTTGTAAGTCAAGGACTACTTGTATGTACCTATTATTGTTGGTTGCACTGCGCATGTTAGGTCAAATATTGTGATTGCTCTTTGTATGAAACTGATGATTAATCTAACACTTTTCAACTGGTGAAGCTTATTTTCTTTTCAAGCCAGAACTAGAAATGACAAACATTTACATATTCCTTACTAATAAGTAGATTTTTGCACGACACTCTCTATTTGACATTAAAGTTTGTGACAGTGTGTGGGATCTGGAGGCAAGAAACCATTTTTTAATGTAGGTGTTAACAGAAAACTGTTGAGGTGAGGTATTATTTCCCTGGGAAATAGAAGAAAGCCAATTTGTGACAACAATTTGAACTCCTACAATATTTATTCTTTGCTGTTATTGAAACACTCCAGCAAGGCCTTTTGCAAAACTTTCTCAGTGGATTCACTAATAAGCATTGACACTTGTGAAGCAAACAGAGTTACTGCAGTAAATGTATTACCTAAAACCCAAGTCACCATATGCTTCTGTAATTAAGTTGGAAGACAAAGGAATCAGATTTCGTTAATGGAATCTCAGCAAAGGACTCAGACTGAGAAGCTTTGGAAATGGGAAATGATAAAATGATAAGATGTTCACCTCTGATCCTGAAACAGCTAAACTCATCAAAATTATAGTTGTAGCATTCTCAGTCATGACAAGTTTCTGGTTAGGTGGCATCCTTTACTAGATGGGACTGCCCTCTCTGGCAAGATACTAAAACATTAATTTGTTTGTAAAGATTCCTTTTTTGTTTAAGGTGGTCTGGAATTTGAAATAACATTTCACCCAACATTTTACAAAACATAGTCGTGCTGTTTGCAGGATGTGCTGAACCCAAATTAAACAACAGGTTGGCTTAATGTGACAGCCTGGCTCACTTTAACTTGCTAAGATGTTGGCATTTTCCTAATGCCATGTTCAACCACAGACTATCCTACACCACCTCAAGAGGTCCAATCCTAATTGCTGTACAATGTACTTAGTACGGGGAGTGTCTTATTCTCTTTACTTCCGTAGTATAAAATTCTTTCTAAGTTTGTTTGACTTTTTCCAAGTCTCTTCTTGCTCTTTCCTCCTAGCCTTTTGACCGTTTTTGACCGTGTCCTCTCTGACTCCTTTACCTATACAAATCGAAACTTTTGTCTTCTAATGTTCTTATAAAAAATCAGCTGGTTACTGATTGAACCATTTTTTTTAAATGATTTTAAGTTGCAGAAGGAAACATGAATGTTAAGAAAATTGTTCCTAAGAATAATTGGAAAAAGTGCAGAGAAGAGCAACTAGGACGATAAAAGGCTTGGAGACTAAAACATATGAAGAACGGTTGTAGGAACTGGTATGGCTAGTCTAGAGAAAAGAAAAATTATGGGTGACATGATAGCAGTATTCCCGTATTTGAGGGGCTGCCACAAAGAAGAAGGGGGTCAACTTATTTTCTAAAGCACCAGAAGGCAAGACAAGAAACAACGGATGGAAACTAATCAAAGGAGAGAAGCAACCTGGAATTAAGGAGAAACTTCCTAACAGTGAGAACAATTAACCAGTGAAACAGCTTGCCTTCAGAAATTGTGGGTGCTTAAGAAGAAACTGGACAACCACTTGTCTGAAATTGTATAGGGTCTGCTGCTTGAACAGCCCTCCAAGGTTCCTTCCTGCTATATTTTGATTGTAATCATAGTAGACCAAGGGAAGGGTGAACTGCCCTAAATTAAAAGCATTCAAGTAGATTCTGGTCAACCCCATTTTAATATGGATTCCTGTCCTCAGCAGATGTTTAGGGCAAGATGATTTCATGTCTTCCAACTATGAGGTTTTGCATATCTGCAGTTTGCCAGGTGTTGTGGTCATCCCTGAAGGTAATTCTGAGGAATGTGTGAACTTTGAATGATGATGATGATGATGATGTTCCCTTTAGGAAAAGAAAACACTGGATGAAAAGAAAGAGCTTTTAAAAAAGAAGTTGCATCAAATGATGTCAAATGCTGAGAGTACTAGAAGGTTAGTAAACCTCAGAAAACGTTTTTTAAAAAGCCCAAACCCTAAATCAATAGGGGTTTATAAATACTTGCCCAGAGTGTTTAAAAGCACAGGAGAATCTTTGTATTAGTAAAAGATAGACCACTCTGTCAATTATACAAGAGCTGCAATTTATAAAGAAAAATTAATCTGTATAATGGCATGTTCTCTCACCTGATCTGATTTTAATTAGGAAATACTGTTTGATAGTATCATTTAATACAGGTGGGGTAGATTGCATCAAATATACTCTTCTCCTATGGCAGAAACTCTGGAAAATCTGCACATGACACATGACAGATGGCAGGAGCAGATCTATAGTTCCTATCCATCTTCATTTCAAATGCCTCCCATCTCATCTCAGGCCATAGACTGTGTAGTCTGTATACAATGCATCTTTTACAAAAGAGCAGGTGAATCCCCTTACAGTAGGTGGATCCCATATCACATAATTTTCTGCATAAATACCAGATATGTAATGGTAGACTCGTCCTGGCATCTATGCTTGGTGGCTGGATACTGTTTACAAAATCCATATTATGTCACATTTTATACCAAAATTGAGTAGCAAATTACCAATTAAAAAAAGAGCTGATTTGCAAAGTGAGGCTCTGAAGGGTACACGGTACTAGAAGATAAAGTAGAGCAGACATGTCAAACTCGCAACATCACGTGACGTCGCACAATGTATCGGGAGAGTTTTGCCATTGCTGGCAATCGGGTGGGCGTGGCTTCCGCATGACGTGTCCGGCCCGCGGGCTGGCAGTTTGACACCCCTGAAGTAGAGGTTCAGGATTTTGGAGAACAAAAGAAGCACAAAAGAGACTTCACATAATAATTGCACATCATGCAATCACATTAACTGATTGCCAATTAAGAACTTAAATGGAGCAGCAGGGGTGAAGCTATGCTTATCTAGAAAAGATTGATGTGACTGGTGAGATAAAGGAAGAAGAAAGAAATCTGGCTGGCCGATGGTCAGTTGTCTATGGAGATTCTCAGTCATCCAGGTCATTGTTATCCGAAAGGTGCGTTTTCAGGAGGCAACTGGACTTTCTTGTTTTTCTTTGAAGACATTTCGCCAGATGGTGAGGAATGGAAGGATTTATATTCCTTGCAGACAGCTGGTCATTTGCATTTAGAGAGTCATTGAGGCCTTTTGGAGGTTTATCTATGTCGTCAGGGTCACCTGAGTAATGCAAATGTGTGTGGAGCCTTCTGGCTGCAGGATGTTTTCTGCCCTGTTCCTGTAGTCTGCAATGTTTTCTGGAAATCCGTTCATACTCCCACACTATTCAGAGGGTGTTCATCCCAAAGTGCATAGCTAAATGTTTATGGAGATTCTCAGTCATCCAGGTCATGGTTGTCCCAAAGGTGCTTTTTCACGAGGCAACTGGACTTTCTTGTTTTTCTTTGAAAAACATTTTCAAAGAAAAACAAGAAAGTCCAGTTGCCTCCTGAAAAATCACCTTTGGGACTGACAATCAGTTATGAAGACATGTAATGGTTTATTCATTGATTTTTAACAGAAGTCTTAGAGAAGATCTTCAGAAGAACGTATAATTCCAGTATGGTCTTCATGATGAGTGCCATTTGCAATCAGATCATCCAAATTTTGTTTGCTGATTTTGTCATTGCTAAGTAGCATTTCAACCTTCTATGGACACGTTCATAAAATTGAAAAGAAAACGGTTAACAAAACCCCAAAAGCTAAATTCCATTGGAACAAGAGATCTTGATCAGTTCCTACTAATATGAACATTTCATCATCCTTTGCCCATTTGGTCAATAAGAAAGTGTCCATCTTCCATAAAGTTTATGCAAATTTTCTCAATGGCTTTATTACTCTTCATTTTCCTTCCTTTAATGCTTTTCCAGTGCATGCATTAGCTCATTTCTCTTTCTCATTTGTTCCAGCTGTGTAAAAGTTCAGTCAGAGATGTGTGTTCTTCAGGAGCAGATTACTCACCTGGATAGTATGATCCATTCCCAGCACCAACATTTGCACAATCTGATTCACCAGGTTTGAATAATTTATTTCAATATACTAGGAGCAAAGCTCTGAGTTCAGATCACCATGTAGTGAAATCAATCATCTTCATGTATGTGTGGGAAGGAAGTACTGAGAAACATGGGGGATTGGCAGGTTTACAGAAGACCCCCCCTCAAAAAAAATGGGAACTGAAAAGGGAGTTGTTTATAACCGTTATACATTTCTTCATTTTCATGGCATAATTTTCTGTTAATTCTTCCATTTATTTGGGCAGCAGTCAAGTAAAACCCTTCAATCAGACTTTTGTTATTATTTTAATTTGAACATGAGCAAATCTGTTCATGAATTGCACTCTTGTGCATTTATATTTAAAAATTATTTTGAAATATAATATGTGTATGTGTGTGAGAGTGTGTGTGTATATTATAAATATTCTATATATCTTATATATAGGATTAATGTAATCTAATTTTTAAATGCTTTTGTGCTCTCATTAATTAACACAATCATTAACTGTATAGTTGTGTCAAATACTTGAGATGCATATTGAGATAACATTAAGATACATGTTTGAAAGAAGCAGTTATCCAATTAATCACTGAACAAAAAACAGAAAAGTATAAAACAGACAAAACGGGGCATTTTTGAAGATAAAAATCAGAAAACCTCATGAAGCAAAGAGAAGAGTTATTTCTGTAATCATACATAGGCAGTACACTATGAATGTTAAAACTAAAGTAAAAAGTTTTATTTTTTTATATCTCTGGAGATATGGATAATAATACTATAATACTTTTTTTGTATCTTGTATTTGTACTTGTTTTAATATGCTGTGCACCGCCCTGAGTCCTGCGGGAGAAGGGCGGTATATAAATTAAATTATTATTATTATTATTATTATTATATATGATTTTAATTAATGATGTGTAGACACATAAAATAAATAAAAAGAGTTTACGTGTGTGTGTGTGTGTGTGTGGTGGTCTTCCTTATTGATTCACTTTTAACACTCGTTTCTAATATTATATACGGTTAAACTCACATTGACACACAAAAAAATCTTCTTATTACAGAACATCACCAGTTCGAAAACTAGGAGTCCAGACTTTGGACCAATTATTCTCTCACACAGCTTCTTTCTGTGAGGAAAAAATATGAAGGGCTTTATATAAAGCACCTTGAGCTAAGGAGAAAAGGTGGAACATAAACATCAGTTATTATTTTATTATTTATTTAGTCTTGAAAAAATAAGATTTAAAAGCAATTACATAGCAAATGCTTATTTATTCGGTTTATTTGTTGCCTCACTGCCGGCAGCATACAGATATTAATGATAAAAGCAATAATGTAGTAATGTTGAACAAATAATGCAGTGCAAGTAAATATCTAATACATGTATGTTCGAAGTTCAAACATGACTCAAGATGAAGCCCACTTCCATATTACTGTAAGGCATTCAAGACAACCTATTGTTTATGTATGAATGGTTAGGGTTCGAAGTTATGATGGACCCAGAAAAAGGACTTACGACCTGGATCTGAGCTTCCGATGGTCCCCTCCTCAGTCATGTGACCGAATTTCGGATGCTCAGCAACATGGTCATATTTACAGCTTTTGCAGCATTCCTCGGTTACATGACAGCAGTTCTGGTTTTTGGCAAAATGGTGCCATAAGCGAGCCCATTGGTTTATTTAATGAACCAATTTACAAAAAACATTGTAAAATCAGATCTGCCACAAGACGGACCTGTTTTACTACTATCACAACTGTAATGGGCAGGCTCCATAAGGTTGTATGCTGAGGACTGCCTATAATTCTACATAAATCGGAAAATACCTTTGATTGTAAACGATATGATTCTATAGTACATCATTCTGCAGACATTGGTAAAATGTTTAAATCTGATTGGTTGAAGGGCATGAACTTTCCCCGGCTTCAAAAATCTTCAGATGTGTTAACTTGAGAAGAGGCTCTTCTTCTTATATCACAATAAGAACAAATGTAACAGAGTAAAAGGTATAGAAATATTTTTTAATAATCCTGGCAATGTGAAATGTTACTCAGAGGGCCTTCTGCTGTGAAATAATCTCGTGGATTTTCAAGGCATGGACTTTGAAATTGCATCTAGGAAATTTTGTTACTAAATAATTTCTCCACATTGTTTTAGACCGAGAGGCTGAATAATGAACTGAAATATCAGGATGAAAGAATAGAAAACTTAAACAACCAGATAGCAGTACTTCAAGAAAAGGTAAAGTAATTATTCTTACTATTGTGGTTTGGCACACTATTAGCCAGATGTTTAGACTGGATTCAGCATTTTTAATTTATCTATCAAGTCCTTCCCAAGGACCTGGGATAGGCAGATGTTGTTCTTTGATGGTATTAAATGTGTTGTTGCAGGGTGTAATGTTCCAAGTCAAGTCTTAAAGGTGCTTTTCCAAAAGGCAACTGAACCTTTGGTTTTTTTCCTTGAAAATGTTTCACTTCTCATCCAAGAAATTTCTTTAGTTTGGTACTGAAGAAGCTTCTTGGATGAGAAGTGAAACATTTTCAAGGAAAAAAACCCCAATAAAATCCAGTTGCCTTTTGGAAAAGGACCTTTGAGACAACCATGACCTGATGATTGAGAATTTCCATCGACATTGTTCCAAGTAAAGCTGCCTTTTGCAATTGACTGATGGTGATTTTGTCAATGCTGATGTTGTTCAAGTGGTGCTCCAGATATTTTGGAATTGCACCCAAGGCACCTATTACTATTGATACTATTGATACTGCTTTCTTTTACCACAGTCATTTCACTTCTGTTTGTATTGTTTGTATTGTTGTTATTTGAAAACTCAGATCTATTCTACCCATTATGTTGATTCATTCCTCCCCTTCCCCCCAAAAAAACCTGGATGCATCAATTTCAGGACACAGCATTTTTTGATAAACTTTCCTAAATATTATGGCAAGCCTTAATATTGTACTGCTCCAATAGAATATAAGAATGTTGTAAGATCTAAATCAGTTTCAATCATTTGGTTTTGCAGTATCCTCAGTTATTCGGAGTTTGCAAGATCAATTTTAGGCATTGCTATCTCTACCCCAGTTATGTGTGTGCTGTGATGGCATTTAAGAGGCACTTCTATTTATTCCATCTTTTTATTTAGTTGCAATTTGTTGGTCTCTTATAGGACACGCAGGCCAAAAAAGCTAAGCATCTATCTCTGTCAATATTTGAATTTTATATGATGTATATACTTATATACTCTACATTTCTAGAACAATGAACTGAGGTATCAAGTGGAATTCTACAAGAACCAATCAAAACGAAAAATCTCCAAGGCTGTTTCCACAAGGTATGTCTTTTCCTTGTTTTTATGGTGGTTTAACAATTACATCTTTAAAAATGCTAAAATTCTTTGAGTGATTGAAGACTTCTTTCTTTTCTCCCAAACCTGCCAAAAATGCCTGGAAATTTCTATGTTTTTAAAGGGATGCGATATAATGAGGATGACTGAGAACTTTTCCCCTGGAAATGCTTCAATTTGGTGGCCACCACTAACACAGTGGGAAACTGCAAAAATCTGTTTCCATATGGTCCATTTCAGGTGTATCAGGACTGCAACTCCCAAAATTCCTATCTGATTGGGGATTCTGGAGATTGTAACCCCATTTGAAGGGGTTTAGATTGGGAAAGGATAAAGTCTTAACTTGTTGTTGTTGTTAGTTGTGAAGTCATGTCCGACGTTCCTCCAGGCCTTCCTGTCCTCTACCATCTTCTGGAGTCCATTTAAGCTCACTTCTACTGCTTCAGTGACTCCATCCAGCCACCTCATTCTCTGACGTCCCCTTCTTCTATTGCCCTCAATCTTTTCCAGCATTGGGCTCTTCTCCAGTGAGTCCTTCCTTCTCATTTGGTGGTCAAAGTATTTGAGTTTCAACTTCAGGATCTGGCCTTCTAAAGAGCAGTTGGGGTTGATCTCTTCTAAAACTGACCGGTTTGAACGCCTTGCAGTCCAAGGGACTCGCAGGAGTCTTCTCCAGCACCATATCAATATCTTAATTATAATAGCTCGTGGAATGCAACAACCATTTTTGTCTATGATCTTAAACTTGGTTACTGATGTAATTCATCTTCTGGTTCATACAGTAAACTGGATGATAAGCTAATCAACCCAATTAGATTCCCACAACATATAAAAGCATGTAAATTCTAACTGAGGTTAAAACTATCCAAGCTTAGCATGGCACAGGAATGAAGCCACCTGATCTGACCTGGTTAGGTTTGTTGGGTTTCAGCAGCCAATGTACCAGCTGAACTTGTGCTACATGTTGTGTATGAAAAATTGCATGAGCTGGACTAGACAGTGGACAATAGAATTGTTGACAGGATATATAGCTCAATGTTTTTCCTGTGAGATATCTGGCAACATTTTTGCTCTGTGAACCAGAAGACTAAATTTCTGCAATGTGCAAAGATTCTCCAGAAGGTGGGGCTACAGCACACAGAAAATACATTATAGTTACAGAAATGGGTTTATCCTGGGGGAAAATCTTTCCAACACTTGGTCACTACTATCATTAAAATAATTAGTCCACAGAAGCAAATTACAGGGAATTGTGATATATCAAATTCTGCAGTCTTTAGCTAATTCAGGCAATCAGTCAAATCATAGTCTTTGCTAATGATATTGAAAAATGCCCCTTATGGTTTGAGTTTTCCAAAATGTTTGCTACCTTAATTTCCTGATTCAAAATAACTTGAAAACAATTTCTAAAGGTTGAATTCCCTTTTCAATCTGCCATCTTTTGATTGAATATTATCAAAATCTGTGTGTATGTAGTACATTAATAGCTACCTTTAACCGAAAAGTGTGTACAATTCTTTCTGTAAAATTAATGAACTTGTGGGAAAGTACTTAGAAGTCTAAAATTTCTATTTGAAAAACAAAATTTATACAAAATTTAATCTCATATAGGAACCATTTTTGGACTACAATTCTGCTCATGGGTTTACAGCACACCAAAAATTTTCTCATAAAGTTTTAACATTTAACTGTTGAATGATTTGTTAAACATGGCTCTTTTTTCAGTTGACAAAATAAGAGCATAGTTTTTAACTTTGATTCATTTTCTTCTGATTATTGCCATTAATATCTACTTATTAACTTACTTTAAAAATGATCTGTGGTTTCAAAACATTATCCAAATACCTAGAACTAAGTTGATATTACTCTGAAAATTTGAGTTCAGTTTATTGCATTTTTGAAAATCCCGTATCTATTTATTTAGCATTTTTCATATTTTTTTTTACTTTGTTCTTTACTGATTTTGTTTCTCTCTTTTCCTTTTAAAATGTTCAGGAAAAATAATTGTTTTAAAAAAGATTGGTTGGATTCACCTGAGCTAAACTATAATCCTGTTTTGGTTGGTATTTTGGAGTTGATATATTGTGTGAACTCAGTCAATTGTTATTTGTTTATTCAGTGAGCCATGGTTAAATATACCATAATTTAATGTAATGCATGAACTTGGTTATTAAGTGAAAATGATAGTCATGAATGTGAATCTACACGACAAGTTAATCTTCAGGTCTACTTTATTGCTGAGCTGAAAAAAAAACTAACAAAAATATAAATATGGAGTAACAGAACATGTTAGAATTTCTAAGAAATTTTTGCCACAAAGGCTGGTTCAGTTTCCACTTTAAAAAAATAATTTTCAAATTATTGCAACCTTTATTCAAATCAAGAGACAGATCTTGTCACTGTGGTTAATATTTATAAAACAAGTATCCTAAATGCTGTGGACCATTTGTCAACTGAATTTGATAACTATTAATCTAACACAGTTCTTAGGATCTCTGAATAATTCCTTCCTCCAGATTCTTTGAATAATATCAATACAGGATTAATTTCCACAAGCTAAACTGGATTTTTCAAAATGGTACTTAACCAATTAAACGTTTCTCCATCTTGTTCCAGGATTGACGAAAACATGCCGTACATTGTGATATCCAGACGACGCAAGTAACCTATTCCTGTGATGTCTAAATCTTCCTCAGATCCATTACAAGGATTGTTATTTCTTTCCAGAATAACTTTTCTATGCATTTTCATTGGATTTATATGCACAAGGAATTTTGGTATCACCTAACAAATTTTATCTTTTGAATTAATGTATGGAATCTTAAGATGGTCTTCTAAGGGAAGAAGTAAATTCAGATGTGACAGCAGACATCCAGGAAGCTGAGACATATGGAGAGACAGATTCCATTTTTAGTCATGTACAGGGACATTAGAAGCATTGTAGTTGTTCATACTAGTGATGGAAATGCATTGGCTTCAGAACTCATTAATCCATAAGGACAAATTTCCTCCTGCAAGTTCTATAACATGCATCTGAATCTACATTGACGAATATTCTGGAGGACTAAGGCAGCTGGATCAAAGATACAGTGGAGAGCTCAAATATGTGGTACGGCTGAACCACAACTGACTAATATTAGTTTCGTGAGAATTCTCTCTTCCTAATTTTGGATACCAGGCAAGAGAGAGAAAGATGAACAGGCACTTATGTGGAGATTGCATCAATCTAATAGAAAAATCTCTCATCACACCGAATTGCAGCTCTTAGTATTATATGTCATGGACAATTACAAGTAAAGTGAGCCTTAGCAAAACCTTGAACAGAGATACCTCTTTAGAGCAGGGGTCCCCACCCCCCGGTCTGTGGACCAGTACCGGGCTGTGGCATGCCAGCAACCGGTCTGCATAAACAAGCAAAGCCCTATCTGCGAGATGCAGGCAGCACACAAAACCATGCACCCTCCAGTCTGTGGAAAAACCTTTTTCCACGGAACCGGTCCCTAGTGCCCAAAAGTTTGGGGACCTCTGCTTTACACCATTTCTAACCCCCTCAGTGATTTTGAATCTGGCAAACTAATTATATTGTTGTTGTGAAAAATGATAATTTTACGAATGGTGTTTCTGAAGGAAGCAAAATACCTCTGGGAAGTGCAGCTAAGCACAGAGCACAGAGTCCTGAAGCCATCATTATGTCATGATTTAGAATCGGTAAAATGTAAGTGTTCTGCATAGAGCCTCTTCTAGGCAGATTCATCTAGCAGTATGCCTGAGGCAAGAAAGTAGGAATATATATTTCAGTTATACCTCTATTAAAAACAGATTGTACATTTGGCTAAGCCCTGTTTTATGACAGAGCAAGAACAAATTTCCCCATCATTAAATGAATAAATTATTTATTTATTTATCTATAATGATTATAGCACCCTTAGATTATATTTCAAGAGCAGCTTGCCAAGACTGTCAAAACGTAATGAGGAAATGGACAATATAAAAGCCATGAAATCAAGAAAGATCTGTAGTGTAGTTATCAGGATAAGAAGGGCATCTAAAAATCTCAAGGACGGTCTCTCTAGTGGCCAGTATGATAATGAAAAGTAAGGTTGGTTGTTTCTTGGTCTACAGCAAGATTTATGCTTAAATCTGGCTGGATCATTTTTGCACTGTAGCAAAATAAATAACTGATATAATTTCAATCAATTATTTAAGCCACAAGACTGTAAGGTAAGCCAGTGAATATTGTGGATAAAACTATGAATTTAGCTGAAGGGAACCTTGTCAGCATAATGAGAGCAACTATGATTTGATTATCTGGATTCCTGGAAATGATTCAGGAATGCAATGATCATTTCTTTTCTGCTTCAGTCTAATCTTTCCTCTTCACTTTCTCAAAAACATCATGTTTTCCAAGGCAGGGCTCACCACAGAGCACACGCTATTCCCTTCAGGGTGCAGCTACATTAGTTTTTCTGCTTTAAATGTGTGCCTATTTGGGGGGTGTTTTCCACTTTCCTGCTCCCTACACTTGGGCAATCAGAAAATATTTTTCTGATTATATTTCAGGGCTGGGATTATGGATGGGCCTGGCCAGTGACAAAGTATTGAAGGGACCAGATCACAATGAACATCTTAGCTAGCAAATGGAAACAATGGCTTTAATGTTATCCCAAAGGTTGAAATTCATCCCAAAATAGCTAGTGGTTTTAAGTTTTTAAACAGCAAATATGTCATATTTAATCTATGTGGTCACTAGGAGTCAAAAATGGCTTGATGGAGCATTACGTTTTCATAAATACAGATACTTCATTGAGAAATACTTGTGATGTCCTTTTCTGCTTTGCAGGCTGATGCTTCCATTTCTCCCAATCCGTTCCCTTTTTTCTTCCATTTAACCCAACAGAATATTATTCGTTCTATTCCAAGCATTAATAGAAAGTGCTAGGAAAAGATTTAAACATATTTGTAAAATTTCTGAGTACTATATTTCTGGTTGCAAAAAAAAATAATCTGCTTTACTGTATCCTATTCAGACATTGTATCTCTTACAAATGGATAATGCTCTCATAATGTAGAAAATCTGATGCTTCAGTTTTTGTGATTTCCACTTTCGTAATCTTCCAATCTGAAATCTAACCTATCCAAATTATGCAGCTTTCAAATATCCCCCAATGCTTTAAGAAACCAAAAATACTAGAAAGAGGATGCATGTGTTCCAAGTGTTAAATAAATGTTGATCTTTTGAAGCTTGGACATCTTTATCACTATGAAAACTTAAAGGACACTCTCTTACATCTTTCCACATGATTTATTTAGTAATGCCAGCATGGTAGCTGCTGAGCTGTTTCCAGAGATCGGTATTAGGGCAAATTGTAACATTAGATAACGCCAGTGGCTTGACTCTTACTAAAGCTGCATTTGGAAAGTAAAAAGCATATACTGTACTGGAATTACGGGCGGTATTCACAGATAGCCCTTGACTTATGACCAGTCACTTATTGACCATTTGAAGTTATAATGGCCCTACAAAAAGCTATTTATAACTTGTGATCGCAGTTTATGATGGTTTTGCCAGAAAGTGGGTTCGCTTAATGACCACCACATTTGTTTTATGACTGCTGTGTTTGCTTAACCACCACAAAAATTTTAGTAAAATTGGGTCAGGCCGTGTGCTGACCCACTTTACGGCCATCACAACTAGGAACTTTTTGTGCTAGGCTTAATTATGGTTGTAACGTGAGCACTACGTGTATTTATTTATATATTTATAGCCTGCTTTTCATGCAGGAGCTCAAGGTAGCAGACATGCTGTTCCTGCCTTCCATTTTTTCCTACAACTCTGTAAGTTGAGAAAATTTATAAATGTAGGTAAGTATGTGTGTATTTATGTGTAAATTCAATATCCCGTCTTTCATTCAGGAGCTCTTGGAGATACACATTGCCCATTTTTGTTCTGCAAGGTCCTCCTTCGAAACCAACTTTAGACCATTATAAAAGTCTACCCTTAACTGAGGAGTAGGATTTTAAATTCCGTATTTTTTCTTTTCAGATGGGTATAAAGGAAATACCTAGCAAAGTAAAGAGAAATACAGGCCTTATTCTCACTTTGGATGAAGTGAGCTGGGACCTGTTCTACCAATCTTCCTGAACTTTTCCCCAGATGCACTTGTTAGGACCTGCAGCCATCCTCTCTTTGTTCCTGAATAGCTGATAAAAGATTGAAAAACAGATTCATCTAGACCATAGGTGTCCAATCTTGGCAACTTTAAGACTTGTGGATTCAACACCCAGATTTCCCCAGATAGCATGGGAGTCTGGGAGATCTTAAAGTTGCCAAGATTGGACACCCCTGATTTAGACATTGTCCAGTTTAATCAAGAAGCCAAAATAGCAGAAGAAAATAATTCAATGAAAGCAATACTGTTGATACAAACCCATAAAATAATCATGTTTTTTGACTATCTTGAAATAGGGACTAGATTGTATTATTATTTCCAAAAAGTTCCAGCAGTCTTATACGACAAAAAAAAGCAGATAAAAATGTACAAATAAACAACTTAAGGATGAAATAAAGCCCAGATCCTGCAGAGGTTGGGTATAATCTCTTTCAAGTGACCCCCAACCTTTGGTTCATAATGGCTGGTAATTCAAGGAATTGTATTCTTAACATCTGGAGGACATGAGGTTAATATTTAAAAAAAATTACTGGGACTATGGTGAATAATGTATTCTAATTTCATCCTTTTTCTGTCTAGATGAGTTCCTACACTGAAGCCATGGTTTCTTAAGCCATTTTTGAAAATATCACAGTTGAGTTCCTACATAGTTGTAACTATAGCATGTGAATTCACATGTGCAAAGCCAGAATGAAGTAAGAAACATTATGACTTAGTGTGACATCTGCACACTTTCACCATTCTCAGACACATTATATCATGTTTGCTGTTCAAGACCACAATCCACAACTGCTTTAAAAATGAATAGTTTTTAATTTCAAAAGAACAGTGCAGAAACGAAACTACAGAATTACATTCCTTAGCCTTATTGTATAAACCCAGACACCAATGGCTACAGTCTGATAGTATGTATGTATGTATATGTGTGTACTCACTCACACACTCACACATATAAATACATATTTATATATCATTGAAAAGCAACAGCATAGTAGTAGTAATACAACACGGTTAATGACTGAGGCTGCTATGCTGGCAGTGCAGTCCATCCAGAGAGAGATAATTCAAACACGTAGCTCAAAGAATGTAAATCTTTAATTTCTACAGAACCGTCTCAAAGACCAACAGAAAACATGCTCAGAGTTATCTAACTTAAGGACACACTAAAAGCAAAACAAAGCAAAGGGGAAAAAAGCAACTGATCAGTCAGGAGGCTCTTAGTGTTGAATCAAAATCTGAAAAGAATAATTTCAATAAATATATTCGTGAGAAACACATAAAGTACCTTGAATTATACAGATATGTACACTGAAAATCCCACCATGGGGGTAGAGCAATGGCAGTTGGAGAAGATTTAAGATTCAAGAAACCTCTTGATTTAAAAGTTGAGGTGGAATCAAGTTTAGAAGAGCTTCAAGCAGGACCTTTTTAAGTGTAAGAAGAAGATGGGGCCATGTTTCTTAAGAAATATCCCATAATGAATTTGTGCTAAATGGTATGAGTTGAGGGGGGATTATTGATAAGTACAACTAAATATTTAACCAGACTGCAGGACTTCACCCCTTCTGAGAATACTGTATGATTGTAAGTTTGTGATAACTTTTCTTCTCCCCACCCCCAATTAATCCTCTTTGTAGCAAGCCATAACCACGTGACTCAGATTATGATGCACTTGGCCTTTAGAAGAGCTGCTATCATGCATTTATTTTAGAGAAAGGAAAACATGACAGAATTCCTTACAAGCCATGAGGATATTGTCAGAGGAGAGCCAAGTTAATCAATGGTACCCAAACTCCTCCCGATTACTAACCTTGAGCTTCAAGAGCATATCTAGAAAGTTGACCATGAGGGACACTATCCAACTCTGCCTCAGTTGGACTGGAGAAAGAAACCAACAAGGCCGAATAGTTTCAGTGGTCACTTCATGTAATACCAGATTACAGAACACGTATTGTATTGGGGAAGGTAGATTTTCATAACAAAACAGCAGCAAAATGACTAGTTTGAACACTGTAAATCTTGGTAAAAGACTTTGTTAAAAGGCTGCTGGGCAAGTATAGGAACATATTTTCAGTGACAGGGACAACAACCTTCTCTTAAAAATATTATTGATTTATCCCACAGACAGTAATTATTAGGGACATCATGTGCATTTCATCAGGCAACAGCTTTGCTCTTCAGAGGCTTTAACTAAGCAAACAAAGATCCTTTCACAGAAATCAAGCTGGTGTGCAGTTTTTGCTGCTGTAATCTAATGCCAATGGTTGTCAATAAAAGCAGGCAAAAATGGTTACATGGAACTAGCAGTTCTCTAGTTTCTTTCCCTCAACAATTATATATGGTTTATGAAAACATGGTTGGCTTAGTGTGCTTGGACTATCTCTGTAGATCAGTGGTTCTCAACCTGTGGGTCGGGACCCCTTTGGGGGTCGAACAACCCTTTCACAGGGGTCGCCTAAGACCATCGGAAAACACATATTTCCGATGGTCTTAGGAACCGAGACACCGCTCCTCTATCTCCTTGCCCTCCTCTTGCCGCTCTCTCTCTCTCCCTCTCCCCGCCTGGGCGCTTCTCCAACCAGGCTGGGAGGAGATGGCGGAATGGCCTTCCCCCCTCCCTGGCCAGCTGGATGGGGGGTTGGGGGTCACCACAACATGAGGAACTGTATTAAAGGGTCACTGCATTAGGAAGGTTGAGAACCACTGCTGTAGATGGTCAGAAGCACAACAGAAGCACTTGAGAACTTGGCTCATTACAGCTGAATACTTTTGGATAAAGGGGTGTATATATAAGAAATGAAAAAAACCATGGGTCTATCAATCATACAAACACATCCAATATTTTGATTCAAATATTCATGAAACCAAGTCAGAAAAGGGAATTTCATACCATGTCTCAAAAGGATCAAAAGGAAGCCTGGGAAAATTAGCATAACATATTGCCATTACAATTATTCATCAATGAACTGCAGGTGAACTTTAATCAAATATTCAATTATATATAGGATTATTTTGGCGAGATGCTAATTAGGAACTAAAGTGGCAACATAACCTACATCAATATATTTGATATCAGTCATACATATCCTGATCTCCTTGATGAAATAGGGCCATAAAAGAAAGATAATGAAAGAATTATTGATGTGATATGGAATTTATTTTGAGTTTATATTGAAAATGCAAGATGGATTCCAGTATTGCCATCTTGGCAAGTTTTTAGTTGCATCAAGCCAGTTTCAAAGGCTATTAATAAGATGATATAATGCCAATCTGGGAAGTCAAAGCAAGTGTTCTTGTGGATTAAACACTGTGCTGATAAATGTTCCCTATAAACATCTACATTTTATGCATGCAGGAGTTTAGGTGTGCATAATGAAAGCTACAAAACCAACAGCTATTTTGCCTTACTTAATGCTGGGGAATATTTCGTGTACACAATATCAAAGTTTAACATGCATGCATAAAACATTCACTCGTGGGTATTTATGCTGAGACAGAGGCATGGGCAGAACTAATAGGAATGCTAGTAGATAACCCAGCATGATTGAAACAAATTGATGTCCGAGAATAATTGTGCCTTAGGAGTGGCTTCAAGTTTTTAAGTTGCTACTCCAGTTAGTAAGCAACAAAATATACGTATGGTAGTGTGAGAGACTGGAATACAACTGTAATATATTAGTCCCTCTAGATCGGATTTATAATACCAGAAGATCCCAAACTGTCAAACTAAATGTAAGAAAAGTTCTGAATGGCAACTTTCACTAAGTCAGCTGGGATTCCTCAGTAGATCAGCCATATGCCCAAATTTTGCACCAGATAATCCTGTTTACTGCTATGCAACAGAGAGCTCTGAGTAGGTAATAACAGCTGGGAATATTAAGGGTATATAGGTCCAATCTCTTCTTCCATTGGAAAGCTAAAAGTTATAAAATGGCAGAAATGCAGGAAAAAGAGATGAAATATTCCTCACAGTGCAAGGCCATATAGAAAAGGAGATATACTTTAATGCACAAAGAATCTCTTATTCTTTTACACTTAGTTAAGTGCAATGATTCTCAACCTTGGTAACTTTAACATGGGTGCACTTCAACTCCCCAAATTCCCCAGTCAGCATTTAACAATTGTTAATTTAAATACTTGTTAAGGAATTCTGGAAGTCGAAGTTCACCGGTCTTACAGTTGCCAAGGTTGGGAAACGCTGCTTAAGTGTATTCCCCAGCCCTTGATTTCCAGCATAGCATTCTGAACCCAAGTAAATACACTCCAGATTTCATAGGAAAGAAAAAAACCATTAGTATTTCTCAATATAAGTGCTGAGCAATTAACACTAGCAAAAAGTGAAGACACTTTTGGGATTTTGTAATTTCCCATTTCTGAAAATGAGTTCTGCAGACTTACAAAAAGCAGTAAACATCTAAAAGTGTACTGAAGGTATTACCGTATTGGAATAAAAATAAAAATCAAGATATCACCAAGAATATATTCTTTCTGAGAAATGTGCTCACATTTTGCAAACAGAAATATATGTTTAATTACTGAGAGACTGATGAAGAGCATTGTGATAAATATTAGAAACAACTCTTTTACTTTGGGTTGGTAACCTGAAGAACCTGGTGAAATGTACTCTCTAGTTTAGAAAATGGTGGCAGGGAATTGCAGACAATTTTGGAGTGGCTGAGTTGCAAAAACAGACTTTTAAACCAGAATGGCATCACAGAGAGATGGTGCACAGTAGAAAGACAATGTCTGTTTTTGTTGTAAAGACATGCATTTGGCTCATCATCATCATCATACCATCATCCTATCGTGCTTGGCTCTAAAGTGTACACATCCTTCACTTAACAGTACGTCTACTGTAACAAAATTAGTACTGGAATTTCCTCTTCTTTGTTCCTGTTCCTACTTTTCTCATTTTAAGTGGTGGGAGTAAGGCATTATATATTGAATCAAGACTTTGCTTTGGACAGCTAATATTCCAGATCAACGTTGAACATAGCTTCATGTTTAGGAGGTGCTCTGCTCGTAAAGTAAAAGCACAAATAATCTTGTGTGTGCATATACAGTATGTGTTAATTAGAACGTTAGAACAAATAAGAAATGTTAACTGTATCCATATGGAACTTAATAAATACATACTATCTCGTAATGAAAGGGGATTCCATTGGAATATCACTCTGAGTCACCAATGAAATACTTGGCCAAGTATTTCAAGGCAGATAGCACTTTTCAGCTTTGAGCAAACCTCGTGGTTTATACCTTTTCCAACACTGTGCTATGTTGTATGAACATCTTCTTTCTACAGTCCACCAACCTCCAATGCCACTAATGACTACGTTACAGTTTTAATCAGATCTCGCCTTATGAGAATAGCCAACTAAATAAAACAACAATTAACTTTTTGGTATTCAAAAACATAAAGATGCTTACAATGAGCCACACAATATATTCTTTGGGGTGTTTTTTCATCATCTGTTTAGCAAACATACAATGTCCATCATAATAGAAGGCAAAGAGATGAAAAATGATGGCCCAGGCCAACAAAGACAACCCTTTGTTTTATTGTAAAGGTGTCTCCTAACATTTCAATTATCCTCTCCCCAAAGCAGATATTTTCTCTATTTACTCGCCTATTGTATGAAGAAGAAAAGAGTCTCTGGATTTTCTATGAAGATAGTTAACACCTGTTTGAATGCAGAAGCATGATTTCTCAGCATTGAAAAACAAAATCAGGCTTGCTTAAGACAACAACAGCAGTCTCATTTGGTCCGTGGAGTTCCAGGTTGAATTTAGCATTTGGTCATTCTGTTACTTTCTGACTTCTCATTCCTTTTTTCCTTCAACCTGAATGGCCAAGTCAACAAGCACATTTCTTCTCTTCAGATTTGGACGACACCAATTTTCCTGAATTTCCACCATTGGCTGTGTCAGAGAGCTGAGACTTGTCAACACACTGTTCCATTCGTTTCATTATTAAGTCCAAGAGTGTCTCCACAGCTTTGTCCACATTTTGGCCAGTCGCTGCACTTGTTTCAAAGTATGGGATGCTACGACAGGAAAACATCAGAAGTATTGTAAGATATTTCAAGAGAGAGCAGTTATAGCAATAACCCTACAGGTTTTTCTTCAAAGGAGAGCTTGCATTTAGTTCTCCAAAGCAAAATGACTTCACTTCAACAATAAGAATATTGAGTCACTTTCTGAAAGGCCATCAATTCTGCTGAACCCATCCAACTTCCCCCTTATTAGCATTAGTACTTATCCATTCAGAGATTACTTTATGTGATCACTGATGTCAACCGGGGGGGGGGGAATCACTGATGTCAACCGGGGGGGGGAAGAATAAACATTACACTTGGTTTTCTTCCGTGGAAACCAAATGTCTTGGCTATTTCATTGTGTCCTTTGGCATCACTCAGAGGAGTACACCAATGCCTCCCGAGTTAGCTGAGAGGACAGCAAGTTTGTTTGCCTTACCCGTATTTGTCTGCAAGTTCTTTTGCTTGTCTTTCATTGACCTCCCTCTGATCTGATAGGTCAGCTTTATTTCCAATTAATACTATGTCAGGGTTCTCGCAATAAGCATTTGCTTGCAACTGACCTAAAGAAAGAAAATGTAGAAACTTGGTAAGCAGTATAGAAATGTTCCCTTGAAACAGAGGAGCAGAAATCATAGATTCTCTCAGCCTTTCCTAACCTGGTTTCTTCCAGTTGTGTTGCTCAAGGCTGATAGATGAAATATGGGCAAATTCACTACCTATTTTTACATTTTAAAAAAAGTCTTATGATAGAAATAAGATGGTTGGTATCTTATTGTCCAGAATACATTGTGCCATCCAATAAATCAAATTAACATCGAGTTAATAAATCTGAAAATGCCAACGAGCACTGCTTTTCTTCTCCACATCACAGCTGCAATGGGAATAAAGCAATTAGTCCTCAATTAACAATTGGTGTTGCTTAGTGACCGTTTGAAGCTATGATGGACTTCCCCTGAGCTGCTTATGACCTGGTTCTGGAGTTTGGTTAGCAGTGCCCCCCCCCCAGTCACATGATCACATTTTGGGCATTTGGCAACCAACTTGCATTTACAGACTTTGCAGCATCTTGCAGTCACATGGCCACAATTTTTGGTGGGTTTTGCTAGTTTCTGGAATTTACTTCCAGTTTCCAGCAAAACAAAAAACAAAAAACCCGCCCATTGACTAGAACAGGTTTGCTTCAGTGACCATGACGTTCACCTAATGACTGCCATTTTGGCTTAGCAACTGCCACAAAAAAGGCTGTAAAATTGGGTGCCGTCACATAGTGACTTGATAATGACTACCACAACTCATGACTATAATTCTGGGCTCAATTATGGTTGTTTAAGTTGAGGACTACCTGTTACCCCCCATACATTTCAAACAATTCATATACATTCTTTTAGTAATATTTAAACTAGCTCGGGCAGGGTTCAGTGTTTTGCAGAAACATGATATGGTGGTGTTGCTGTAGGCTTCAAGGAGGGGGCAGTGCTGGAGTGGAAAAACAACTTTGTCAGGTCACAGTGAAAGTCCACCTGTTTCCTAAAACTTCCATAAAAGGTGTCTTGCACCAGTGGCCAAGGCAAAGAACGATCCAGGAACCTCTAGAGGCCATCTTCAGAGAGCAGCGCACCTGGCTTCTAAAGTACCTGCGTGTCTTTAGTGGCCGAGTGTTTAATCGTAGCAGGAGTAGCTGACATAATTCCACTCTCTATGGGGGCTGCTGTTGCATTAAAGGTGGCAGATTCAATGCTGCTAAAGCTAAAAGAGCTTAAGGTTAAGGGAGGCAGATGCTTTTTCCACTTACTCATCCAGTTTCTGACATTTAAGAAGCTCTGTTGACTGGTGAGATCAAACATTAGCAAGAAGCCCATGGCATCTCTGAAAAATGCTGTGGTGAGACTTCTGAATCTGTCAGGAGAAAAGGAGTGAAAGGATCAATATACAATTTGAGCTGTAAGGAAAAAAGAAAGCAACGGGTATTAGGTAAACATTTCACTGCTGAACTTTTTAAAAGTGCTACAAGCAAACAGATAAATGACAAGGCAAAGCTTTAATATTCTCTTTACAGGGATCATCAACCCTTATCCAGAATGACTGTTCAAGCACAAATCTTCCTTCGGGTTACAAGGCATCCCTGGAGATGATTTTATTTTCTCTTATGATCTGTTCCATTCCAATGGGGATTTGTCTTATAAATTTCCCTTTGAGTACCAAAAAGATGGGCAGGAACAGCCACAGGAGATTTTTACCCCACCCAGGGACAAGGAAATTCTGGGAGTAGGGCTCACACACCTTCAAGAAGAGAACTTGATTGTGTGTGTGTGTGTGTGTGTGAAAACTTCAGTCACTATCCTCAGTGTCTTGTGACTTTTAGCAATTGTTCCCCTGAAATGCGACATTCCAAAATGCTTCAAATCACTTTTTATTCAAAATGCCAAATCATCCAAATTAAGAACGGGCTCTTAAGCTTCCTTGGTAAACAGTAATATGATGTCAAAAATGATAATAAAAAAACCCCTCTGTCTTGAAAACCTGCCTGAGTTCAAATGACAGAATCTAATAGAAAAATGTTGTTCATTTCCCCTTCCAATTATTTCTGCATTGGACTTTTAAGTTCTTGCATATTACCTCTCTTGCCCAGCTGTGTCCCATAGCTGCAGATGGACCTTAAAGGCTTTTCCAGAAGAACCACTTGACCCCTGGCTGTTGTACACCTGAAACATACCAAATAAAGCTTCACTGTTTATTTTAATGCAGGGAGAATTATTCATTTAAATGTTAATTAAAAGTGAAATCGCGATTTGCAAACGGAAAATGCCGGACAGAAAAAGATGATAAACATCATATGATCCTTTTATTGGTTTTATTCCACAGTTGATTTTGGCAACCAGCACAGCATTTATTGAAGGAATGCACACAGTAAGAATTACAATATTGACATGGGAAGTATCAGTCTCAATATCAGAGATGTCCAACCTCGGCAACTTTAAGACTTGTGGACCTCCAACTCCCAGAATTCTGCAGCCAGCATGAGGAATGCCTAGCTTCAGAATTCTGGGAGTTGAAGTCCACAAGTCTTAAAGTTGCCAAGGTTGGACATCCTGATCTAGATGAGTTCATATGGGCTCAGAAGCTAAGCATGATCAGGCTAAAACAGTACATGGGTAAGAGATTTCCACGAACACAAAGGTTGTAGGCTAGACTTGAGAAATAAAAAAAAAAAAAAACTTCCCAAGAGAAAGCAATGACAAGCCACTTCTACAGTATTGCCTAGAAGTTTGCCAAAAACTATCTCTGAAGCCACCAGAAGATGAAATCAATTAGGACACTTTAAACTTTACGTTTACAACGTTAGACTGGAACAGGTGGCTCTTCATTTGTCGATATAACTTTCTGGAGGCATTTCGACATTCATTCTCTTTCAACTTTCCTTACAGAGTTATTGAGTGGAAGAATAACATGGAAATCCCTTGGAGGCTGAAAGATGGATGTATAAGCAGTAAATTGGAATTCAGCAGACTGGAATTCTTAATATCGGATTTTATTTATTTATTTGTATCCCACCTTTATTATTTTTACAAGTAAGTCTGAAGACTGCTTCAGAGTCTCCAAAAAGTTAGTCACTATCACACAGCCTAAGCTACAAAGTGTCTGGACTTTGGACTACCCAATTAAGACTGAAACAATAAACTAATTTCTTTGTTTATATATGTTTTTCTTAGGTAATATCTTTCTAAACAGCACAGCTGCTGCATGTTTGCTCTCCTGTACATACATAGAAGATTTAGCATGTTGCTTTGGTATAGAAAAGATCTCAACTAAAGAGGTGACTCAGCCATCCCTGAACAACCCAAGAAGAAACATATGTCTTTGGTCCAAGGCAATAAGCAATTATGTTCCACTTGAGATTTTCCATGAAACTGAAGACTGGAGCAGCAGATGACCCTGCGCAAGTGAAGGAGAGAGGTGTGTTCAAGGCCAAAGAGCTTAGCACGAGAGTGGGTAAGAGGAAACTTGGTGGAAAAAATGGCCTTCAACATTTCACCTAGAGCAGGGGTGTCAAACTCGCCGCATCACGTGACGTGTCGCGACGTATCATGACTTTTTTTACCTTGCCGGAGCTGGCGTGGGCACAGCTTCCGTGTGACGCATCTGGCCCATGGGCTGGCAGTTTGACACTCCTGACCTAGAGGATCTAGCTTTCTGAAGTATAGTACACATTTCTCATTTCCCCTGTCATTCCAATTAAATGGGCAGAGATTTTAAAACGAGCAAAGACTAAACAGCACCTGAAAAATAGCATCAAAAGTATTAAAAATTATGTTGGCCACTGAAGCATTTGTGGTTGGGCAAAATATACATAGTTCACATTACTTTAAAAGCAGTATATTTTTGCCTACAATCCTTACAGTCTGGCAAACTATTAAGTCATTAACACAGCACACACTTTTGTTGAGACATATTGCTGTTCTATTGTTTTGGCACCACCAAAGATTTGTAAGAAAGTAGTGTGTGTGTGTGTGTGTGTGTGTGTGTGTGTGTGTGTTTGTTTGTTTGTTTGTATGTGAGAAGTACTTGTGTAAAAAGGGTGTACACCTGCTAAGGATTCAAAGCATAAAACCTGATAAACACACTTTTCGCAAAGGGTCATTTATCTAGACTCCTAGGTTATTAATCAAATATGTAATCAACCATGTCCAGTTGCCATCTAATAGGGACCCAGTCTTCCCTAAACATATCCTTGACTGAGGTTCCAATGTCTAATGGTATGATCAAGTCCTTGATGAGATGTATTACCAAATGTTATTGTTTATACTCTCTGTTCTTTTCTGGCATAAAGAGATGGTGAAAGCCTCAGGATAGTTTGAACATTGGTCTAGACCAAACATCTTAGTATGGTGCTGCATATTTGCTGACTCCAAGTAGGCTATCTACTGCTATTCGTGGTGTTTGTGGCAAGCTGAAGGGATGTGGATTGGTGTATCTTTTTCTATTAATTCTCTTAATACTTAATAAAATCTTTTTTGGCATTTTTCCATGGTTTGAATCCTAAAGAATCCATTGGCTCCTGGCTGGCCACTGGATAGCAATACATGTATTCTTCTCCATGGGAAACTAGATCCTGAGTAACAATCTCTGAGACAGTTAGAAAGACACACAGTTTCCATCCTACCAAAACCAGAAATTAATATACCAGAAGGATTCAAAAGTTTGTGTTTTGAGGTTAATATCTGTGGCACAAATCACAAGCTCTTTAACTTCTGAATTTAGCATGCAACGAGTTGAGAAGTTGGCTTCTCAAGTAGGAGGTGGATGAACATTTCAGAGAAAGGGATCCTCAACACAGATGTTTGCTCTGGGTGTCAGAATATATAGCTGATATTTAGGAAAGAAACACTGCATCCACAAAACCCAAGAAATGTGACGTTCCCACAAAGCTTACAAATTGTGCATTACTAACATATTTTCTCATCTCCAGATCACAAGAAATTAAGCATTATATATCTCTGAAAACGTTTGTCCTGGTTACATGCCATAATTACAATCTATTATTAAAGTATAAATGAAAAAAGAAACAAATATAATAATATCTGCATGGGGGCAATTTGTTTTAGAAACAAATCTTCATTCTTTCTATGGACAACTTTTTTTGGTAGCTCAAGGTCTCAAATTCACTCTTGCTGTTGCAAAGTTTCATTTGTAACCTGTAGAATCCATGCACTGTTGACAGCAAAGTAGAATAAGCTTAACAGTTGTGTGTGTGTGTATGTGTGTGTGCATGTGTGTGTGTACACACAAAGGGATTTATCTGTGTCTGTGTCCTGTAATAACATTAAGCAAACAAGTAGGCAAAATTGCATTTGGGATCCTTTTTTAAAAAAAAAATCCCTTTGAAACTCATTTTTTGTATCAAAACAATATTTATATTGCAATCTCGCAGCACCCTGTCAGTGGATCTTTTCTAAGAGAAAACCAGTATAAGGTTGTTTCCGTTATGCACTGCAAAAAGCGCTTTGAATTAAATGAGTTAAAATACAGCAGCTGACTAGTGGCAAACACAACACATGGAGGCTTCCAGGAATAGCAATTTCTCATGCGTGTGTCTATGACAATTCTAAATCCCACCAACAGGAATTGTAACCAGCATGGGATACCATATGGCTGTGACATGAGCTAGACTGAATGAATGAAGGAGGAAAAGATCATTTGGATACCCACCCACACGTGTGTGCGCACAAACACACACATACACACACACACACACATAGACTCTCTCTCTCACACACACAAGATTTTAACTATAACACCCCCTCAAAAAAAAATCCTTGCTGTTCTCATCTAGTTTCTACAAATGTTCACGTACCAATCTAAAGGTTCTGGAAATCCTACAAATACTTTTCAGCTTTGATCTGGAAAACTCCCTTAAGAACTAAGCAAACAGCAGGTAACACAAAAATGCCTTTTTGCCATATGACAATATGCGCTCCTATGATTTTAAAATCCCTGCTGCTAAGCTTCTGAGCAAATCAGAAATATAAATAATACTAATGTTGGAAACATTGATATCCATGATAATATGGCAAATCTGGAAAAAAAGAAAGAAAAAAGAACCTTAAACTATCTGTGAGGTTTTCAGACTGCTTCACAGACTGCAGTGTAAACAGCCTTGGAAAGTACAGAAATCAAAGCTTAATAAGAAAGACCGATTACAGGTAGACTTCGACTTACATTCAAAAGGATATTTTGGGGGAAACATAAATCTTTTATGTTTCCCCCCAAAAGAATCTTATGATCCAGTCTCGAAGTTCTGACACTGCCCGGGTCCCCCATCATGGTCACATGACCACATTTAGGATGCTCAGCAAACAACTTGCAATTACGGCCGTTTGCAGTGCCCTGCAGTCACATGATCGTGATTTACAATGAATTTGCCAGAAACTTCTGGTTTCTGGCAAAAACTGCTCCATACTGAACAATGGGTTCGCTTAAAGACAACTGGGTTCGCTTAATAACCGCTGCGAAAAAAAGATCATCAAAACAGCTCCGGTCAAATGGTAATCTGCTGACTGTCACAACCTAATCGTCAGGCTCAATTACAGAGGATAATATATAAACTGGGAAGAGATGAAACAATATACAAATGCCGTTTTGGACTAAGTGAAAGGACTGGTCAGATGTCAGATGTCACAATTCAGGTGAAGGCTACAAAATACAGGGCAAAAACCACACAAGGAAATGGATATTGTCTCACTGAGATGTTGAAAATATTTCTTTTGAGAGAGTGGAAGCTTCAGGAAGACTTTTCTGCCTCCCCCCCCTCTCTCTCTCACACACACACACACAAAGAAGAAACTCACCACACGCTTTTCTCGAAAGTCGATGCCTACTGTTGTGATGAACTTTGGGTTGAACTTGTTGTCTGTGTATCTATACAGCAAAGTGGTCTTTCCAACCCCAGAATCCCCGAGGGCCAGGAGTTTGATCAAATAGTCATAGTCCCCATCAGTCATAATGCTGACCTGGATGAACCTGCAAATCAGGAGAAAAAGAAGATTAGTAGGAAGGAACAAAAAGAACAGAACTTAGCATTAAGGACCCATAGGAATGCAGTATTAGCTCCCTTGAATCCAGCCACTTACAAGCTCTCTGCCCTATTTTTGACCGAATTTCTCCATCAGTTCTCAGCATAGATGGAGGCTCTACCTCTTGAATATAATCTCTTCTCTGCATCCTAGCAGCAAGCTTTTTTTTTAATGGGCCCCTGAATTGTGTGTTCATACACAAAGGGACATCTGTTTTTATTGCCGCTGTGGATTTCTTAGTCTTGTTCAGCTTGTGATTTAGTTTGTTTTTATTGTTGTGCTCGATATTCTGGTATCTTTGCCATAGAAAATAAGGCTTCAGAGACAAGGAAAATCATAAAAATATATTAATACTAAATTTTCATTACAGTTTAGGCTAGATACACTGTTAAAATTTTTATTTTCCTTTTTCTTCAGGAGCTGAAAATGGTCCACCTGGAGTATTTCTTTCAGTTCATCCATGGTAGAATTCTGTGGGATAGTTTCAGCCGAGAGTGCATGTGATAGATTGATTGATTGATTTGTTAGATTGATTTGTTAAGACATATGTTTTGTTGTTTTTTTCTGCAGGAGCTCAAGGCAGGGTCCTTTGATTTTATTCTTACAACCGCCCTGTGTGGTAGATTTGACTAGATTAACTAACCAGCCCAAGTCACCTAGTGAGATTCCATGGCTGACTCCATAACCATAACCACCAAACCACACTGGCCTTAGAGTTTGTTTCAGATGAATCCTAGTTTCTACAAGGTATTTGGTGAAGAAAGATGTCTATGGAGATTCTCAGTCATCCAGGTCATGGTTGTCCCAAAGCTGCTTTTTCAAGAGGCAACTGGACTTTCTTGTTTTTCTCTGAAGACGTTTCGCTTTTCATCCCAGAAGCTTCTTCAGCTCTGACTGCTCTGACTCTCAGTCAGAGCTGAAGAAGCTTCTTGGATGAGAAGCAAAACATCTTCAAAGAAAAACAAGAAAGTCCAGTTGCCTCCTGAAAAAGCACTTATGGTGAAGAAAGCTATTTCTTCAGTTCCAAGCCATGTAAAGTAGAACCTACTTTTATGTATTTAACAATTTTCTTCCAAAAATAAAAAAAGAAATATTAAACTAATCCATACCCACCTTCAGTCCTTAAAGTCAATTAAGAAATAATACAAGTAGTCCTCAATTTACAACCGTCACTTAGTGACTGTTCGAAGTAATGATGGACTCTGAAAATGGGACTTACAACCTGCTTTTGAAGTTCTGATATCCGCCCCACCCCCAGTTACATACGTCTGTGAAATGTCAAAGGGTTCTGATGGTTCTAGGTCAGAGATGAGCAAGAGAGTACCATGTAAATTTTCCCAGGGGAAAAAATGGTGTGTATAAAGCTAGTTTAATTCTAAATTCAAACGACTTTTCCTTCTTCTCTTATGAAGAAGAAATGGCTACCATTTTAGTATAACTTCCATCTGGATCCAGTTCTTGTTGTCATTTCCTATCCCAACACTTGCTCACTAAAACTATCCTACTTATACACACACACTTGGGAAATAACAGCTGCTCACCACATGCAGATTTTAGGAGAAAGTCTCACTGCCTAACTACTGATCAAAAGAAAAGTTTATCTAAGGAATCCTCTTTTTAAGATCATGATACAACACATCAGGGAGAAACATGCTAACAATTCCACTGCTGGCGGTTTAAACTATGGAGAAAGTATCTGTTCAACTGAACTTCCCAGTTTTAAAAATAGGGTAAGGTAACCATTTTCAAATATCCAAAAGATTGTCAGATAGAAGAAGTAATGGACTTACTCTCTCTCATCCTAGAATGCATGGTTAGAATCAATGGGTTAAAACTATAAGAAGGAAATTCAATTTAGACATCAGGAGGGGGAATTTGCAGAACAGACCACCATATGAAGTGGAAACTTCTCCATCAAAAGAAATCTTCAAACAATGGTTGGATGTTATCTCTATCAGACGTTCTAGTTAGTAGATCCTGCACTGAGCAGGCTATTGAACTAATTGCCCTCCGACATCCCTTCCAATTTTATGACTGTATGAAGAGAAGACCGAAGGCTGCCAATTATTACAGAAAACTATCATTTCCCCTATTCTTTTTCCATTAAACAAGAATGCGTTAACCGGGATTTTTTTCCTCCTTCTCCCACAATAACAGAACTTGGAGTCACTCACCAAATTTGACANTAAGAGATGGTGCCAAAGGACATATTAGAAGGATATATAATGTTTTATTAGAATTGGACTCAGAAACTGAGCTAGTCAAAGATTGTATGATTAAATGGGCCCAAAATATAGGAGAAACAATATCTATGGATACTTGGGAGCTGATCTGGGTGAGAAATGTGAAGTTTACGCAAGCTCAAAATCTACGTGAGAATTTTTATAAAGTGTTTTACAGATGGCACATGGATCCCGCAACTATGTCACGCATTTATGAGAATTATGAATCCAAGTGTTGGAGGTGTGGACAACAAGACACAACTTTTTTTCACATGTGGTGGACTTGCAATGTTATTAAGGCCTTTTGGATAAAATTGTGGTGGAACTTACAGCAAATTTTCAAAAGAAGAATTATTTTCCTGCCTCAGTTGTTTCTCCTAGGTATTACACAAAATTTGGATGTAAAAGAAACGAACTTGATGTTATACTGCTTAACTGCTGCCCGCTTATTGATAGCTCAAAATTGGAAGAGTAAAATTCTACCTACAATGGAAGACTGGAGATTGAAAGTTTCGTACCTTGCTGAGATGGCAAAGATCTCGGCTTATTTGAAGAATCATTCAAATGAACAATTTTTATTAATATGGAGAAGATGGATTGTTTATATTCAAAAGAAGCATAGAGTGGTGGAATATAATTTAGGTTTTTAGAAAAAATTTTCCTTTCTTTTATATATTTTACCTATTCATGTAGAATAATATACTTTGTGGAGTTAGAGATATTAATATTTGTTTAATTATATCTGAATATTATCCTGGGATTGGTTTGGGAAGTCCGGGGGGGTGGGGGGTTTTCATATAACATTGTGTAATATTTGTGGGGAAAAAAATTTTTCTTTTTTATTTTTTTGAAAAACAATAAAAATCTTACGGTATATTGAAAAAAAAAAAAAAAGAACTTGGAGTCACTCAACTAAAGTCAATGGACTGGAGCATACAAACACACACCCACAAAAACACCATCCTGCCATAAAGTATTACACCAGGATGTCTATGGAGATTTTCAGTCATCCAGATGCTTTTTCAGGAGGCAACTGGACTTTCTTGTTTTTCTTTGAAGACGTTTCGCTTCTCATCCAAGAAGCATCTTCAGAGCTGAGCTTCTTCTTGGATGACAATGGACAATAATGGAAGGGGCACTGCAATTGCATCTGAATTATCATGTAGGATCTAAAGGGCTTCTAGACCAACTTTCCCAACCTGACATTCCCAGATGGATTGGAAGTGCAACTCCAATTCCCCACTAGCATGCTTAGCCACATTTTAAAACCGACCTTAGACTAACTGTGTCCGGAACTCTGCAGTCTCCCTGAACGAAGATAGAAATTAAATTTAACTTGCTTTGAACCTCCAAGTCAATTACTGGAGATTTTATTATCTTACTTCTTCATGCAGCTGAGTCAGACTTCATCATCGTGCCTGATGAATCTCAGCTAATAATTCACACCATTGGCCTTCAGGCCCTGTTAGCTTTAATCGACTAACTTCTTTCAGTCTGAAATTACAAAGTCATAAAGACTTATTGACCACTCTCCAATTGCTGCTGGCGGGAACCATCGTTTCTTTGCTATTTCACGGCTTAGTGTTTGTTTTGGAATTATACAGGTAGTCCTCACTTAATGACCGGTCACTTAGCAATCATTCAAAGTTACAAAAGACCCCCCAAAAGGTATTTATGATCTGGTTCTGACACTCGCCTGCCCATACGCACACATGTTCACTGACTGCATTTTGGATGTTTGGCAATCAGTTTGTATTTACGCTATCTGCCACATCCCATGGCCCAAAGACTGTAATTTTCAGCAGGTTTATGGTCGCTTTCTAATTGCCAGCAAAAAGCACCCATTTGATCAAATGGATTCATTTAACGACCATAGCATTTACTTAACAACCATGGCATTCACTTAACATGTGACATGCCACAAAACAAGGTAATAAAACCAGGCACGGTCTCATGGCAAACTATTTAATGACCGCATGACTCATGACCATAATTCCAGGCTCAATTATGGTTATAAGTCAAAGACTACCTGGTAATCCAGTAAATGCATTTTGAATATTTCTGTTATTGTTGCATCTGGAACCTCGTTTGTTTTGCTGGTTCTACTTAAAAGAAAAAAGCAGGTAAAGAATTAAATTTAGCTTGAAGATTAGGTAACAAACAATGGAATACTCCCTTTTTTTCTCCAACACGTTCCATAAAAGCAAACACAGTTTATGAAATCATAATCACACTGGTGATTACACAAAAAGTTCTGTTCACACTTGCTCTGCTTTGAAGTAGCATCCGCCAGCTGCCTGATAAATAGAATGACAAATTTATCCCACTGAAGGTATTTTAAATGTTATGTTACATATTTTGCGCTCAAAAATTAATTTGCGTTAGGAGTGTAAAGATGTTTTTGAAATTAGCAATCCTGAGCCTTTGCTAATCTTATAGCATTCTGCAGTAACTTCGTCTTTCTTTCCTTCATAATCGTTTAGTACAAAGAAGGTGCAGTTGGAAAACATGGGAAGATTACAAACTGGAAGATTCAACAGGATCCCTTGTAAAACTCCTTGCTTGTGGTGAAGTCAAGGTACGGAATGAAGATCTCAGTTGATCCCTTTCACATTAATTTCTCTATCGTCCCCTGGGAATTTGGCAGATTCATTCCAAATTTCAAACTTTGTATCGGGCTAAGAGGTTGGCTGTCTCTCTTTGGAGAAGAGATTAGTTTAATC